GGTTTCCCTTTGAAACCACCAAAACCCTCAAAAGAGACACCCCCATATATATACATATATAATATATATATATATATGTATATTTATCTGGTCAGCCCCCCCCCCATGATCTACCTGTTGTGTCTTGAAGTCTTGGTATATGTAATGTAAGTAAGGGTTATGGCTTGACGCTTCCGGACTCAAACACTTCCTGGCCATCGCAACGCGCCAGGAAGCCGCTCGAATCTGTGGTGCCACCGCCTGAGACGCTGGCGGTGGCTCCCTTCTTGGATGGCATTAAAAGGAAACCAAAGGGAAACCCACCTGCTTGGAGGGGTCCCGAATTGTGGGGCACATTTGTTTCATGTATATATATATATATATTATACACATACATATTTGTATTATATATACACATACATATATGTATCTATAGATGTGCCAACGCTTGACCCAGTTGGAGGGTACACATGCGAGCGAACATTGCCTGCATGGATTCTTTGGGATTGGGTGCCTGTCTTTTGAGACTACATGTTTAGGGGGGCTAAAACAGATGAGCACGAAAGGAGAAGCAGCTATTTGCAAGGACGGGCGAAGGGAGGCTCCACTGTTTTGAGGCATTGCGACGAAGGCTCAGTTGACAGCAGAAGGGCGTTGAAATTCACCCCTCCCGCAGTGACCCACCGCCGCATGTGCGCTGGCTTTAGGAGAGGTGGCATGAGGAGGCCTGCAAGAAGGACTTCGTTTTGGTTGACACCAAGCTGGATTGAAATGAACGGGCGTCGGTCTACTCTGGGTTTCAGTCTGTCTTGGGCAGTGCGGGGCTTTCAGTTTTCTCCCGGTTTTAAGTCCACCTTGGGGAAGTTGAACAAGGGAAAGACTGAACACATCTAACTACCATGTCTCTGGGAGTGCCTCCGGACCTGAGGGAGAGTTAAAGCCGTGCACCGTTTTTCCAAAGGGACGTGCACGCTATTCGGAGCTAACACGAAAAGTCCAGCATATATGCCATATAAATCATCCAAGCCATTCAAGTCATCCAATGTCCAAGTCACCAAAGGGATCTTCAAGCAGAAGTAGGGGTTCCTCCATTTTGGTGTGTCCTTGTTTTGAAGGTTTTTGTTAGGGGGAAGTTTTGAAGGGGCACCAAAGGAAACTACCCATTTTCTGGGGTCCCCCCGTTTTTTTGGACACCCCATGACACCCCGTTTTCACAGAGAATACCGCTGTGAATATCCGGTGTCAAATGTTTACCATAATTATGCACAGCTCAGGCTCAGATTTGCTTCAAATGGTGAAACCTGCAAGGAGCTTGGGCTTTTCGATGCCAGGAGTATTTAGCCATCGCCCTGCCAGAGAAGGTTCAGATGAAGCTCGGCGAGACCAGGGTACGCAGAGCCGAAAGTTGAGTCAAGCTGGGTTGTTCAAAATCGCTTCTTAGTCTTCATGCCAGATGGTAGCGGCTTCCCTTGCAGTGGTGTCCCACTCCAGATTGCAGATTAGGATTGGCAATCCCCCCATGTTGAACAACGCAGTCAACTGCCATGCAAAGGCCTGAAGGGGCTTGGGGCACGGGTGGGGCCGCCTAACCTTCTTCCTGTGTGGGAAATGATAGGTTCTTCCAGACAACATGGCCATCATTCCAACAAATGGGGGTGGGGAGGATCCTCCAACATGCCTAGTCTGCCAACCCCAGTGATCCACTAGCCATGATTGCATCTAACCCACCTCCACCAGGGTAAACGCAGATGGAACAGTTCCCTTTTAGGTACAGATCACTAAACCAATATGGGGCTGGACTGGCACCATCTACTTTGATTCGGCCCAACTGTACCTTGCATCCTTTTTGAGGGCCCCCTTTTTGGGATATTTTGCAGGCCAATCAACCTGACACCAATCATTTTTTTGGGGGTCCCCTATTAAATATACACACACACACACACGCACACACGCACACGTCCCAGACGGGCGGCATCGCAGCCTCGTGGCTCGGGCATCGCTGCAAGAGTTGCTTTCAGTGGTAAACAAAAAGCCGGGACGAGCATTTAAGTGGTAACACAAGAATTTGCTCAAGTGCAACCATGCTGCGAATAGTTTACAAATCGACTTCTTCTGGCCAAGAGGAAGTGAGAATAGGCGCATGCGGGGAAGGCTCAGAAGAGTGGAGTTGTCTTGGCAACGTTTTTTGGTATCTTGCCCTTGCTCAGGCTCTGGAACCTGCCCCCAACACAAGAACACAGAGTCGCCTTTCCTCGGCCTTGTGGCAGAGCTTCAATCATGTGTATGAGGATGCGGGAAAAATAGGAGTGGTTAGATGCTTGTTGCCATGTCAGGCTTAGACATGCACCCCCTATCACACTTCATTTGCGTTTGAAATGAGTTCTCGGTTATATTTGCCCCCTGGCTTTTGAAGGCCAGCTATCACTGGACTTGTGTTTCCCATGTTTTTTTCCAGGGGAAAGGAAACAGACACATAGATACCAAGGTTTACTATGGGATGCAGGTGATGCGTCCCATGCGGCCCATGCGGCCCATGCGGCCCATGCGGCCTATGCGGCCCATGCGCATGAGACCTGAGTGCCTCGCACTGCGCCGAAGCGCGGCGGCGGCTCCTTTGCCACGCTCATCAGCGGTGCGGGCTCGGCAGGAGCGATGATCCCGATCCCCTGAAAGATGGAATTGGAGGAGAAGGTGAGCCCTGGATATCTTCTTTAGTTTCAGTTCCATTCCGCGTCTAGAAAATGGCGAAAATGGGAGATGTTGGGAGAACCCCCCGTTTAAACTCCCAAACGACTTTGCGTGTCAACATCTCCGAACCTAAAAACCCAGTTTTGCTTTAGGAGTATGAAGAGAAGCTCAAGTGATTAAGTGGTCTTTTTGAGCTTTGGGATCACAGAAAGGGGCGGCCTTTTTCCACATCTTTTTTTTTTTTGGGGGGGGGAGGCTCTCCATTTGTGTCTATGGACCTAGGACAGTTTCATGTGAAGTCACCAGTGAATCTAACCCAATGACTGGAACGACCTCACGGCCTTTTGCCCTGATCTTTCATGCAGTTTTCAAAGGCGCATGCTGTGTTTTAAGGGGCACCATGGGCACCAAAACGAAGAACCTGGGGGTGTCGTTTTTCCAGGGCCCGAAATGGTTGGTGTCCTTTCTGTTTGCCTGTTACCACAAGGGGGTACCCTCAAACAAAGATGAGCCGCGAGGGGTTCCTTAAGCTTTAAGATCCCTTCCCCTTCCCCCCGCATAAGGCCCCGCATCAAGCTCCCCTAAAATTCCCCCCCCCTTCGAGAAGCTCTGAAGCCCCCCACCCCCCTGCAAGCCAACCCCCCCTTGCCCAACACCCCAGGAGCCCTAGACCTCATTATTTGAGGCCTTTGGTGGTCAAAGGCCCTCATATATTTAGGGTTGAAGGGGCTTCTACTTCCTTCGGTAGGAAGACAAACGTTTCCCTTGAAAGGGTATGCCCTGAAAAATAACGAACCAAGTTTGCGGGGTTCCCTTAAGCTTTAAGCTCCCTCTCCCTTAAACGCCCCCCGCCAGGTTCCCCCTGCTCCCTTCTCGAAGCCCCGACAAGCCCAAACTTTCCCTAGGATTTAGGGTCCGAGGGGCCAGGGACAAGACAAAACCCATGGCCCCCTCAAAAAAGGAAAAGGAGCCATCCAATCTCGCGGGGTTTCCCAAGACAAACCCATGCTTCCCTTCCGGGGGAGGGTTCCCCTACTAAAACAGACTACGGAAAAAGTTGGGACCCTTATTCTAGCCTCTCTACTGGAGGAGCCAGGCTTACCACTGCCCCTTTCAGCAAGGAGACAAACCCTGGGTTTCCCTTCCGGCAGGTTGGGCCTCGCCCCTTACCGCCGGCGGTTTTCGCCGCGTCGGCTTGGGCGGTTCGAGCGCGGCTGGAGCGCCGCTTGAGCCGCCGGAGCGCGACGGCTGCGGCGGCGGCGGATGTAGCCACCTTGGAGGCGGGGTGTGTGTTTTCCATTTGGGGGTTCCATTTGGGGGTGTCTTTCCATTTTTGGGGTGCCATTTTGAGCATTCGCACCCCCCAAACTGGGTGGGTGTTCCTGTTGGTGTTCCTTTAAAACCCAGAAAAACAAGGGGTACCCTCGAGCAAGTCACACACACCATTTCCCGGGTTTTGTAGGCCTTGTAGGCAGCCTTTGACGACCAACAGGAAGAGTGCGAAGGGTGGCCTGCTCGAGAGGCTTGCCTGGGGTCCACTGGGTTAAGGCGTATACTGAAGGAATAGCAGGTTCTGGCGAAGATGTCTGAGATCTGGAAATGCCAAACCAGGGACTATGACTGTTGGCCAAAGACTGTGGGATCGTACTGGCAATAGAAGTGGCCATGGCTCTGAAAGTTCCAGGCATGTTGTTTTGACTGCTTTGGAGGTATGGACATTTGGAGTCAGGGATATTCTTGTGGGTGCTGAAAACTGCATTGACTGGTAGTCGCCCGAAACAAGCAAAGGCGTATTAAATCGGGCTGGGAAAGCTATCACAAGACTCTCCTGTTCTAAGCATCTTGTACCCCCCGTTTGGGAGGTCCGTCCAATGGAGGGTTTTTTTTTGATGCTTGAAGTGGGGGCTGATATGTTTGGCTTAGCGGGCGCCCGCGGGCGATTTCGCTGACTAGCCGTGGAGGTGGTGGATTTCTTCTGCGAGGATGATGGAGATGTACGGAGTCTCATTGGCAGATCGACCGCACCCGGCCTTTTTGGGTTTGAGATTGAAATGCCATCCTCAAGACCATAAACGCAGGTTGCCCTAAAATTATGGGTGAATTCACTTTGAAGGGTAGGGGTCCAGGCGGACACGTTGAAAGCAACGAATGAACCAGCGCTGTCATTGATGCACACAAAGCAGTTTGACCCTGGCACGCCAGAGATCTCGAGGTCGATTGACAAGCGAGGACTGTGGGGTCAAGTACCATTTTACATCATTGCTCTAGAATAAAAGGGCGGTGATAGAGTATTAAGTTCTCGGTTGAGTGTTGCACAATGGCCAAGGATTGTGATGAAGTTCCCGCAGGACGGCTCCTTCCGTCAATTCGATCGACCTCGCAGTCAGCTTCTGAGCAAAGTGCTTCAGAGGACAGGGATACGGTCTTTGGGCGTGTCTTTTTTCAGGGGACCCACAGGGTTTCCCCTTCCGCCAAGTCCGAAAAGGGTACCCTCAAAAAAAGACCGACCGCAGAAGCCGCGATAGTTATTATGTGTTGAATATTATTTAGGCCCCAATTCCCTGGTGGCATTGTGCGGCGCATAGTTGAGTGGGTGCCCGCTTTTCGAGAGCACTACGTGGTCAACTCCCAATTTTGAGCCACAATCAATACCCGGGTATATAGATGAAGGTTAGTACGGGACAATCCCAGCCATAAATAGTTGCGGCCGCCTTCTCAATTCTTTACAGACATGGTGCTGGGTCGACCATTTTAATACCGTGTGACTCTAATTTTAGCAAGCTCACATGGGGGAGTAAATGGAGTGTTTAGATAGTACAAAGACAGAATGCTGCGCACCCAATGAACAAATCTAACATTGTGGTTGGAAACCCGTAGAGGCCATCCATGCCAAAGTGACTGCCAGAGGGTTCCCCTACATCTGGTTGGAGAATCGTAGATGTATGTAATTGTTTTTTTTTTAAGGGGACCCCCAAAATGGCCAAGCGGTCTTCCTTTTGGTGTCCCTGTAAATCCATAACAAAGCAAGGGTGGGCATGCCCCCTTTGTGGGTAACCCCCTTTTTCACAGGTCAGAAGGAGACTCCAGGTACCCTGAAAACTTGCTGGTGCTCAGCAGGGAATGAGGGAATACAATCCTTTGTGGTTTCCTTGGGAATGTCCCAACACCCTGGCCCTTCCCTAGAGCAGGCCACAATCTCAGCTGAGACTCCCCCCCTCATTTTTCCCCAGGATGTCGCTGACCTTGCAGAAGGGACCGAAGACGAAGGCGAAGAAGTCCCAGGGCCGAAAAGCGTCGGCGCTTCCGGAGGAACTCCCCGAGGCGCGCTTGGCGGACGCGCACCTCGACGAAAAAGAGAGGCTGGATCATAAACTTCCATTCCCCCCCCCCCCCAAATGTCCATGGGTAACTTAGCTGGGTCCCCCAGTAGTGCCCTTTTAACCCCTTGCTTGGGGGAGGGTTCCACAGAAAAAAGGGTACCCTTCTGGAGGACCTAGTCAAAGAGATAGGGGTTGATCTCAACCTTCCGTTCGGCCCCAATGACCATGGCTAGCTTGTCCCATTTCGTTTCGTGGCGAAAATACTCGTCACCGGTCATCCCATGTCCCAAGCAACGGTCATCCCATGTGGGTATGGGTCAAAATACACCCACCAGGGGACTGCGATTTCTGGATTTCGCAATCATCCCCTCTGAAACCATGGGAAACCACGGTTTGTTGGTTTTGCAGGGGACTCATCAGAATCCAGGGCTTCCCAACGTGCGATTTCTGGACTTCGTCCCCTGCAAAGCTGTTCCCCTCGTCCCAAAAAGCTGCACCACGCACCATTGAAAAACAGCTCATCTCCTAGGTGGAAGCCTAAAGATCTCCACTGAGACACCCCGGAGATCTCTGGGGACCACATGGGCTGTGGGTCAAAAATGCGTATACCCAAAATGGAACCCTGATGAATGGAACCAAAGACTACAACCTGCACCACCGTTCGGAATCCCTAGGTTCTGATGCGAGTCCCCAACGTAAAAACCCACAAACCGTGGTTTCAACCATGGTTTCAGATTGGTGCAGGATTATGTCCATCCACAGTATGGCTATTTGGCTGTGGATCAAAACCCTGTACCCGTAGGTGGTACATGGGTGTTCATCCGCACCAAGATGGAGGCATAGGTTATGACCCACGGCCATTTGGTAACGGATCTTTGGACTTTAACTTTTGATTGAAACAGGCCGGATCTTCCGTTGGACGATTTTTTGGCAGAGGAGGTGAGTCGTGGCAAGCATTTCGTGTTGCCACCAGACAAACAAGCAAGTAGGGATGCGGGGGAAGCAGGGATGGGGGCACGCGTTTGTCCGGCCATTTTTGTTGACATAGCTTCCGGTTTTTAGGTGGAATCTCCGGACATCCCTGCTTTCCCCATATCCCCGCGAATTCATGTTTTCCCCCGAAACCCAACGAAAACCGGAGGTCTTAGGCTCGGATCGCATCGAGCCGGGCTGCAGCTGAGGCGCGGGGAAGCCATCCCAATGGACTTGACCTTGGCAGAGGCTACGCGGAGATCTCCGGCTTTGTTGGAGATCTGTGGCGCAGCGAGAAGGAAGATGTGGGCATAGGTGTCCTTTTTGGCTGTGGGTGTGGGGTTTCTCAAAAGAGGTGTTCCCTTTTTGCGTGGTAAGTGGCAAGCAAGGGGAAACCAACCTGAAGGGGTCCCTAATTTTGACAAGCACTCAGATTTTGTTTGGGGCCGTGATCTTCGATTGGTTTCTGGGAGTTGTCACAGTCAGAAATTACTTGGACAGGAAAAGTCATGCCCGTTTCTGCGACGATCTTTGGGTTGCGGGATTCGGGTTTTGGAGCTTTCCCCGGTTTGGTGTGCGAGGTTCGACATGTTTCCCCCTGGAAGCTGTGGGGTCGATAGGCCCAGATGGGCCCATGAACATGGCACCTGACGTACCATGAAATGCGACGTGCTCTGGTTAGTGGAGAGTGGGTTCGGAACCCCGTTTGGGGGGTTTGCAAAAAGCAACCAAAGGGAAGCCACCATGGGTTCTTGATTTGGCTGTGGAGTTTTCTCCCAAATGGTTGGTACACGTGATGTGCACCAAAGTGTTCCTAATTAAAATTCCCATTCGAGGACTGCAAGAGACAACATCACTGCCTTATTTGCTTGATCTGATTCCCGCGGAGATTGGGAGGCAGGCCAAGCGCGGTGTCGCAGACAATAAGCAATAGTTGCAGACCATACAAAGTGCCTGTGAATTCTAGTACATGTCCAAGCGCCGCCTCTTCTTGCGAGGCAATCACTGTCTTGCCATGATCAAGGCATCCTTCTGGGTGTGGATTTAATGTGGACCATCTTGTGGACTCGTTTAGATTGGGAACTCTATCCGCCAACCATTTGGAAAGTTATTCCTGGTTAACTCTAGTAGCCATATCTAACAAGTTTCGGACTCTTTTCTTTGGCAGTCCCAAGCAAGGTCTGTGGAGAGGTTCACACTCCCTCTTGACTTGAATCTTTAGGTCGCCCCCGAAATTGCAGAATTACAACCTGCTAGCCAACTGCGTCTCTTTCTTGTTAGGGGTCCCCCAAAATTATTGTTTTCCTGTTTGTTTCCCATTAAACAAGAGAAACATGGAACAAACAATTACATGAATTACAGCGGGGGCAGCCTTACACCTTCGGCCTCTCAACGACCAACTCGGTGGTTTGTTGTGATCAGATTACGGCGCTACCCTGTGATGGAGTGATATCAGTATCAGGAACCCTGTCGGTAGAGACGGTAGAGACGTATTTTTTACATCGTCATTTGTGTCCATCAACCATTTTGGAGGGCGTTCCGCAATTTATCAGAACTCCTAAGTCATTGGAAGCTGAGTGGAATCGGTGCCGTTAGAGCTGCTGTCCATGGTTGCCCAAAATCCCTGAAGGGCCTCAGAAGCCTGGCCCAACTGGGCAAGTGTATGGGTCAAACTAGGAGGACCCCTAATATTGGCGGTTTTCCTATTGGTTGCCCTTGAAACCGGTATCCTCAAGCAAATGCAAGATGAGGGGAACCTTACGGCAGGTTTCCTTTTGGCTTGCTTTGAAGGGTCCCCAAGAGACGCGCCCGCATCACCCCTTGGAAAAGCCAAGGTGGACTGCTGTACCGGGTTCGTTTGAACCGGCCCCGGGTGCAAGAGGCGGAGCGGGTTGGTTGCTGTTCTAACCCAAAGTCAGGCTACCCTTGGGGGGTTGGACGGGTTTGGCGATTTGAACCCCTGGTTTTTGCTGAGGCTGGGCAGCTACGAACTTCAAACCACCCAACACCACCTGGGAGGACTACTAGATGTGTTTCAAAATAGAAAACCTGAACCTGGATGGGTTTGTTTCGGTTTCCCTTGGCCACCAACCAAAACGGGGTCCATTTTGAGTGTGTGGTTTCGTGACAGGTGATTCTTTATTGTTTGTTGGTGGCTGCAAAAGAACAGACCAGGGCCCTTTAGCACCAGGCCGAAGCCTTTTCGGGTTACTTTTTAGAGGCTTCACACATTCAAAACCCATCAGTTGGAAAAGCCATCAGTTGGGTTTCTCGATTTGGTCAAAACCACGAGACCTATGCTGTTTTGTTCGGTCACTTTCCATGTGTTTGCGCGTACCATTCGTTGTTTTTTTCCAGCCACAAAGACGTATGCCCCGCAGTGACAACAGAAATCTTGTCATGCGCAATAAAGCTCGACAAGTGGCTTGCTTCGGATTCACAGGGTTGATTTCACATGCCCAGCAACAGTCACCCCAAACGGTTTCGAACAGTTTTAGCATCCGAAGCTAGCAGGCAGCCTCCGCCCCTTTCATAAACTGCAAAGGCGAGTTGCCTTTCTGGTTGAAGCAAGTTGCAAAAGCACGCTTGTAAACTCAAAGGCGAGGAAAAGGCACCCCCTTTTCGGGTCCCGGCACGAAAATATCATGCGCAATGAATCTGGGGGACCTTTCCCATTTCCATTTCCAGGGATCCTTCACCCAGTTGTGCAACAGCAATCAGTTTTTGAAAAGAACGATGACTGAACAGAATGTTTGGAATCATTTTTTGGACCTTTGCAACAAGTTAACTTGTTGTGTGGGTCCAATGGAAAGTCCACTGACAATCCCAAAAGGTAGTCCAAATGTCCAACCCATGTTTCGCACCATGAAAAACCCAGTTGGGACATAGCGATCGGTGTTTGAAGATTGAACCGAATGGTTGGAATCTTTTTTTAGCAAGTTAACTTTTTGTGTGGGTCCAAAAGAAAATCCACTGAACATCCCAACAATTAGCTCCAAATATCCAACCCACTTTTCGCACCATTAAAAACCCAGTTGGGACATAGCGATCGGTTTTGGAAGATTGAACAGAATGGTTGGAATCAACCCCTAGAAACAAGTCCCATGCCCAGTGGCTCCCTTTTTTCTTTTTTTTTGGGGAAGGGTTCCCCTTTAAACTCAACCAACCGAAAAAGGATGCCCGGCCACTGGGCATCTGTGAAGTTGTTTTCGCAGGTCACCTGCCGGGGCACGCCTTACGTGGGCCTCCGACTCGTGCCGACCTGCGACGACGCGAACGTGCGCTGGGAGTGGCACTGTGGGCAGCGGGTGGAGACCACGCGGAGCTTTACGCCCACGGAGGCGTGACCTGCTTCCGTCTTGACTGCTATTGGGTTGGATCTTTAGACTTTAACTGTTTGGGAAATCAAGGGGTCAACACAAAAGCAACCAAGCCGTTTGGTGATTCCCCATTCTCATCCCCGTGCTCATGGCCGGTCCTTGCTTGCAACTGAATCGCCCTGGAGAGACCTTTTGGCAACAAATGGATGGCCTTTCCCATTTGGCTGTGGGTCAAAACCGTTTTGGGATGGATAGGTGAATTCACCACCCATTTTAGAACCTAATTTAGTAGGGATTGGGATGTTGACTGGGGGTACGCAGTTTGACCCATGGCCATATGTTTTCATCAAGGTGATTTTAAAGGAAAACGATTTCACTACTGAGACATATATATATATAATACACATATATAATTACATGTATTGCCGGGAAACGTTCACTCCTGTTCTATTTTCTTCGGAAAGGGAATGGATTGCTGCTGGAAGTATATTTTGTCCAGCTGGTGGTTTTTGGGGTAAACTACTAGACGTTTCCGTGTTATTTTCTTTGTTGATTTTTTACCACTGGAAATATGTTGTTTTTGCCGGGGGACTTTCAGAAAATGGCGGCCTGGGCGATTTGGGCGTGTTTCTTTGTGGGTCCTGTGCTTCCAGGCAAGCCGTAGGTATCGACTAGATGTTGTTTGCCCCTGATGTTACCGGCGGAGGGTTGCTTTCAAGGGACACCACAGAAAAAAAAGCAACACTTTGGGGGTTCCCTCACAAGACACCCCCTCTGGGCGGCAGATATACCACATGTCAGCGGCACGACCCGACTGGACATCCTTTTTCGAAAGGCCATGGTGGCGAAACGCGCTAACAACGTGGGCGCCCCGAGTAAGTTTTCATTTGGTGGCCGTCTCGGCGCGAGGCAGACATAGGGAAGCCCTTGAAGGTGATCGCGCGACCCTTGTTGGCGGAGGATGCGAGGACGAGCCAGCTGCTTGGATTGGACGAAGAAGAGGCGGGTGGATCTGGGCGCGAAGTCGCTTCTGGGTGCCCCCTGCTCCAAGTGCCCGTTCTTTTTTGAGGTATCATGTCAACCCTCAGCTAGAAAAGAAGGTGTTTGCCATGGACAGCCATATTTTTCAATAAATACCCTCAAACAAAGACTATATTTGGAGCAAGGGGTGTTTTTTTGTTTTGAATTCTATGGTGTCTTCGCCCTAACAGGCTCTGGGCTGGTTTTCGGCAGGCTGTTGGGTTGACATACCTGGGCTATATGTTTGAGCACGCCCTGTTTTGGGGTGGTCGGGGTGGTGGTGTTCCAGGGAATCAAAGGAATCTGATCATTTTGGGGGTGCCCTGTTTTAAGACACACCCTCTGTGGGCAACCAGAAGAGGCCTATTTAGCACTAGGTTTAAGCAACAAGCCATGGCATCCTTTGTTTGGGTCATGTATGTGTTGGACAAAGTTGGAGGACCACACTGGGGGGCCTTTTAGAGCGGCAGCAATTCATTTCAGGAGGACTCCTTTGATTCATACTATGCATTCACTGCTAGTAGCCTGGTCGCACAAACTCTGTCGATTTGAGTGAAATCGCAGATGGCGTTTCCGGCGGCCCAATCATCCAATGCTTGGCAATTGCGTGCCAAGCTTCCGGCATCGAAACAAGGCGTCGACGAAAGTTTAAGGTAAGCCTCGATTCGGGTGGATATCAAAGTACAGGGGTTCCTCGAGTTCCCTTTTGGATCCCAAGTGGCGATCGTTTCGGTGGAACCCACCCGTAAGTTGGATTTTTTGAAGGAAAGCGAGCGACCATCGTTCTTGCAGTGCAGAAACATGTCGCACACGTTGTTCCCCATTGTTGGTTCATTCCATCAAACACATTAGCTTCAATCAATAATATCGTTATTATCGTCCCTGCAGGGAAATGGGGGATTCACAAATTTCCCACAAATGCCGGGGGGACTCACTAATTCTCTTATGTCCTTTGGAGCGTGGGCCTGTGTTTCCCAGGACGATCGAGTCCGCAAGCATTCATCATGTGAGTGGCCAACGTTAGCGGTGCAAGTGGAAAATTGTTTCCACTCACAGGGTGTGCGATTCCAAGACAATCCTATGCAATATTTAGTTGCATTGACCCTCATGTATCAAATGTTGGTATATGTATTACGGGGATGTTTTGAGACTGCTCACAACTATGCCCTGAAAACTCCCCCCGCCCCCCCCGCCCCCCCGGCCCGTTCCTGCCGAAAGAAGGTCTATTTTAGTAGGGGAACCCTCCTAACCAAAAAAGGGAAAACGGGCACTACTGGGAGAGCTAGGGTCATTCCCTATCGCACCAGCAAGTCTTGGCTTGACTTCAATTACAAAGAAACCAACTAGAGAGGATAGACTCTGGGTACCATTTTTTTCGGTTTTGTCTATCTTACTGAAAAACCTTGGTTGCATCGCTTCGCAAGGCCGCCGCCTCCTGGGACTTTCCCGAGCCAGTGGCGCGCCCGCTGCCTCGTGCGCTGAAACGCCCAGAGGCGAGGCTTTTGCGGCGTGGGGTGGTGGGTTTCTTGTTGAGAGGGGGGGCTGTTTCTTTTTCCCCCCCCCAGAATGGCGAGTGCTTTCGAAGCGTTATTGCTTTTCTTTGCAACACGACGTGTTTTCCCATGAAAGGTTGTTATTTTGTTTTGTCGTTTCGTGTGCCCCAAAAGCCGTTTTGGCTTGAACCGGCGCTGTTGCTGTTGACTGGATGGCGGCCAGGAACGATTGCACAAAATGGGAGAGGATTAAGAGTGTCCCAGGTGACAAATGGGTGTGGGCAAAATCAAACAGGAGAGGTTACGCAGGTGTTGGTCCATGTTTCCGCTTACCAGAGTTCTACTTTGGTACCGGTTGTTTGAGCCACAGCCAAATGAGGTTGTCTCAAAGAAGAACCCATCAAATGGTTTCCCCTTCATCCAGGAAAGGATACCCTGAAGAAAGACACTCAATCAAAGGGAATCCAATTTTTAAGGAGATGCAGTGAGACTCTGGTCACTGTTGGGGAAACAACCCTTTGTCCAGCAGGTTGCCCCAACATAAAAAGAAGTGTACCAGATAAAATGGGTACCGTGATTAATAGCAAGAACGTCATAATCAAGAAAATATTCGGATCGGTTTGAATATTAGACGGTAATATATCGTATTCAAATCTGTCCAAAGATAAGACCTGAAAGAGCAGTTATTGACTTGTATTTTGACCTCAAGAGACCCTTGAAAGATTGGTACAACATCATGTCCAAATCATTCAATCAAGTCAGGCATTACCAAAACAATGTTCATCAATGGCTAGGGAACATAATGGAATCCACAAACATGATGTCCACCATTTCGGGTCCCCAGTTCAAATCCAACGTCGGGGCGGAAGTTGAAGCTTGATGGAGCCTCGGTGAAATGCCCCACTGGACAAAACGGGCTGAACTCATCTTCCGTTTGCTTAATAATATGGCTATGGATCAAAATCCCGTACCCCCAGTGAACATCCCAATACCCACTAAAATAGACTCAAATAGACGAAAATGGTTGGTGCACCTACCCCAAATGGTACCATTGGTTTTGACCCACAGCCATAATATGTGTTATGTCCCCGTAAAGCGAATCTATCACCTGAAATATTCAGATGTTTTCCAGGGAATCTGCAAATGGAAGTCAATCTTGGCAGTTTTGGTGGGATGTTTCAGATGTCACACTGGTGACGAGCTAGCAGTGGATGGATTTGGCCTCTTTCAGAGTACTTCCGCTTTGTTTTTTGGGTATCTCCCTCCCTCCCAAGTGGTTTCAAGTACAATGGACAAAGTTATGCGTGTCAGCAGCAACTCACAAGATTATGGAGGGAGAAAGTAACCTGAAACAAGGTGCCTTGAAGAGAAAGATGGTCTTCCATGGGGTGTACCTTAGGTTCCATGTTCGTTTGTGGGAGCGTGCTGGAGGCCAAAACTCTGGAAGCAGCACATCTGGGTTTGTCTCAAACAAGGGAACCGGGAATATCCGCTTTTTTGGGAGGCTCCCCTTTGGTTTGCGTGAGAGAGGGTAGTCAAACCTTGGAAAAAGGGGGGTTCGACTCACAGGAGATGGCGCGCCAGAGGAGCAGCTGGCAAAGCAGCCAGGACTGAGCAGCACATGCTACCACGGAACACAAAAAAAGCAAGAACAAAAAAACATGATTCTCCCTTAGCGGTTTGGGGGTAGCGCCAAAAAAAAACAAAAAGAAACAAGCGATTCTCCCTCAGCGGTTTGGGGATAGCGCGGTCGCGCTCTGAGATGCTTTCTGGTATGCTTCCCAGATCCTGCTAGAGACGTGTCTTCGGGTGAAGTTGCCATGGGGCATATCCGCGCAGATCTGTTGCCGGATCTAGTAATTGCGGGCATGCACGACACAATTGGACCTTGCCATGGGTGTCGGGACCAGACACCCAGTCACCCAGCGAGTCGTCTTCGTTTGCTCTTTTTGGCAGGGGGGTTCCCTGCAAATTAAAGTCTTCTACCAACAAAAAGTGTCGAGACGGTTTTTCTATGGCCACTTGGGGTTTGGGCTTGTGCCCAATAGGGACAGGACAGGCAGCAATGAGCTGGGGCAACAGGGTTTCACAGACGGCGAACCCCGGTGATTCCATGGTATAGTGAGCAATGCCGACCTCTGATGAACAAACTTTCCACTTAAGGGGGGTCCCTTTCAGGGGGAATCCTTCCTGAGGGACCTCCCCTGATATATAACCTAAAGGTTAGTAATCAGGGGTCAACAATAGCCTCACTGACTGTGTTTCGTGAAAGGACTTTAGGCACTTTTGGGTTTGGACCACTTGAGAGATAAATAACAAGTTCCAGCAGTTGTGTCAAGTCAATCCACTCGATCTGAAGTGAGCAGCCAAGGGAACCACCCAGTGAGAACGGGAGTATCCATCTCCCCGTTTGGGCAGTTGAAGCGAGCGTCGCCATTTGAACTCAAATTGTGAGGACTGTTTGCTTGTTTTCGCTCATGTGGAATCAGGCACCCCATTTCTCCAAATGTCTACTTGCTGGTTCTGATTGCCTTGCAAGCTGAAATGGCCATGGGTCACAATCCGGTACGCCCAGTGAACATCCCACTCCCCACTAAAATAGGTTCTAAAATGGGTAGTGCACCTATACTAGAAAGTTTGGTTTCGACAACGGTTCTGGGCGCTTGCCTGAACGAAATGCGGGTAGTTGACTTGTCCGAGCGACTTCCGCTTTGCGAGCGACGTGGAAGTCGCGTGTTGGCAGTTTCCCCGCCCATGCGGCCATTCTGAAGATTGCGCAATCCTGGTTTTTCAGGTAGCCACGGGGATCGAAGAAAGATCAGAGTTTTAGGCACAAAGGCGCGATGATGCGCAAACCGGATGCACCCATCCGGTGTTTTTTTAGTCCGCCGAAGCCCGCGAAACGCAAGCGTTGCGACCTGCATCGCAGGACGGCCAGGCTTGCTTTAGAGTGCTGACGTACAATATGCTCGCAGACGCTTACAGGCCGACTTCGCGAACAAAAATACAAACAAACAAAAAACGAGGAGTAAGCCAAGGATCTCGTTTTGCTTTGGTGCACACAATATGGACTACACTTAAACACCATATTAATATGTTGGATCGGGGGCAAACGCTGGGGAAGAATATTTCCCAGCTTGCACGGATGATCAGCACCCAAAGCTGACATGCGCGTGCTGGCTGGATGCTAAACAAGAAGCACGAACCCTGAAATCAGAACAGCATTTTAAGTGTGTCTTTGTTTGAGGGAATATCCCTTTTTAAAATGGTTGTAAAGGTTGTTTTGTTTTACTCACTCAATGAGTTCATGGACTTTGGTCACTTTTTGGGTTTGAACCATTTTAGTAGCAAACACACAATGTGAGCTTGTTGAAGGGCCAATTAACTCAGGAAGTGACTTGAGGGGGGATGATGAAAGCACGAGCCAATCGGAGCCAGCCTCGCTTTTTGGCGGTTTGGATGGATTTGAAAGGGTGTTGTGGAGGGTACATGCGAAACCACCCCCGGAAAGCCTATGAAACCAATTAGAGGGAAGCTGATGTCAGGACACCTTCAAGAACCAGGGGCCCAAAACTCCAAACCGGCAAGCCGAACCACCCAGTAGTAAGGGTAGGGTGATTTTAGGACACCTGAGCCACTTGCTCAAATCCGGGTAGATGGAGGCTAGCAAGGGAAAATCCCCTTGCCATAAATGGGCGCGGATATCCGCCTTGGTAATTCTTTATATGCTTTTGGGTGGACGATTTTATGACCGGGTGTTGATTGTGACTCACCTTACCACCTCGCCGCTTTGGTGAGGCGGCATTGGGACCAGCTCTTCCCCTATTGCAAGCCCGAGACGCTGAGACCCGAGCGGAGGCGTGGTTTGGTGGGTGCTTGGGTCTGTTTTTTGTTGGGCTGCTTTTTTGTAAAGGGAAACCAAAAGCAAAACCAACGTTTTGGGCGCCGGAGGGGGGGGGGGCCTAAAGAAAGACACGCACATGGGTTTGTCTCACAATGGGAGAACCCTCAAAATGGGTCTCTTGAAAGCCACCCCCAAGGCGACCCTCGTCAAAAAGCAGACCACGGGTGTGAGGTTCAGGATTCATGGGGTTTCATGTCCACCAGCTTTAAGACGGTTCCCCAATTCAACAAATGCCACATTTAGAGAAACGTGGTGTTTCATGGTTATACTTGTAAACACCACAATTTAGTGTGGTGTTGGCATCATACCCTGTAAACAACGCAGGGATATTTCGAGTGGGCGCTTGCCTAAAGCGGATCGACCCTTTAATCTCTGTGGTGTTCCCCTGGTGGCAGCCATGTTTAGCGGTCCCGCAAGCTCTGGCGACCTTGTGATTTCCAGCTTTCTCGGGCCAATCAAATCCCGCAATAGTCATCATCTGGCTGTTTTTGTTCTTTTTGTCTGTTTGTTTGTTTGTTTGTTCGTTCGTTCGTTTGTTTGTTTGTTTGTTTGTGTGTGTGTGTGTTTTTTCGAGGGTGCCCCTTGTAAAGGTGGAGCCACCATTTTTGGGGTGTCCCCATGTTAGCTTCCGCTTTCCTGTGATCCATTTTGTTGGGGGATTCTGACTCTCAGACCGAAAAAAGCGAGCGACAACTTGATTTGGAAGCAAACGTCTATGAAGACCAAACAACACTTATTCGTATTATTTGGGTGCTCGATAGCACATACTAATTGTGTTTTGTCGCTCAGGAGACCAAGCTGAATGGGGATTCACATTTAGTTTCTTCCATACCAACCACCCTGAAACATGTCCTCCACAGAATTTATTCGTATTATTTGGGTTTCTTCCACACCCGCTAACCCGAAAACAGTCCTCCAACGGACTTTGGAATACTCCAGGCTGCAGCTTTGCCAGCAAGAAGTGCGGGCCTCGGCCAGTGGCGGCAGATGTCAGGACGAGCTGAAACTTTTGGAGTCTAGCACTCCTGGCAAATGACCCGGGAATGCTTTGAAGCAATTTGTTTCTCAACAGGTAACGCCAGGAATGTGTGTTTTGTTCAAAGTTTGGCCATGATTTGATTTGGGAACCTCAAAAGGGATTGGTGGACATGAATCCTCACCAAAATGATGTGCACCACAGGGTGCCCAACGCCGAACCCCTCCAGTTGGTGGTACCTGGTTGTAGGGTTCGATCAAGGCCTGCAAAGGTCTGTACAACCATCTTAGTACGCGTTTGGAGTGATGCTAACGTGTCCTTTCGTCAGAGATCCTTCCCAGAAGTTTGCATCGCAGACCAGGAGGAGTTGCAGGCTAACATCACGTATTTTCCGTTGCTTCGGGATGGCATGGGATGGTTTTTTCTGACTCACCAGGAATCCACCACCGGAATTATATAATGCGTAGAGCAAGTAGCCCTCTTTGGTGTTCCTACGTGGAGTTTGTCAGGGGTCCATCTAGTTCCATGTTATGCGGGTTCAATAATTGCAATACTTGTGAAACGAGTTGTCGTTTAGTGGTTCTCTTTTGGTGGAGAAAGGTCAATTTGTGACCAAACAATTTATTAGCCGCATATTTAGCACCATTTTTGGGAGAGGCCCTTGATGAAGATGCTGTCGACTGGAGATTCAATTGTAAACGAGCACTCCTAGTCTGGGTTACTTGAATGTGTGTATGCGCCGCTCTTTTTCCTACCTCCGTCAAACCATGGGCAGGTGCCCAACAGCTAAAGGGGGGCTACTTGTTGGGCCCCCAGAAGCCCAACGTTTGTTTCCACGGTGAAGCTTTCTGCACTACGGCAGCATCATGTTGGACCGTGGGCATGTTTAACCACGACCCAATTGAAATGGCTATGCAGTTTAATCGAGAGCCACCCAAAAACATGGTTCGTGTACGTGAATCCCCATCTATAATTATAAATGATGTCTACCATTTCGGGCCCAAGTATAGAGAATCAAACATGTGCCGCCCCGAACTAAAATGCATGCGCCGACATTTGTCTCCAAGTTGGTCACTTAGTTCTTGACCCCACGCGCCGAGTGTTCGGGAGGTCCAAAGCTTCGATGCCGACATCGCTGCCTTGCAAGAGGTGGATGCTGCGTGGTTCAAGGACCCTGTTCGAACGGTGAGAAACGCGACCGCGGGATATTGTGGAACTGTTTAATGGGCATCACTTATGCACTCCTGGAGATCATGTGTTTCTTTATGGCTATTTGCTAGCGGATATTAAGGACTTTAACTTTTTGGTCGAAACAGCTCAGCTCGGATTTTCCATTGGACTCACACAAAGATCAACCTTGTTTGCAGAAGGGTCAACAGCAACCAAGGTTTATTGGACCATTGTAGTGGTAAATGAATAGCTCTGGCTTTTTTTTGCAATCCACTCAGGAAGTGAGTCTAATTGGGGACGGTTCAATGGATATGCATATCACGTGGATTTGTGGCCGCCAACCGTTTGTCCTACAACGAACCGACCGGTTTACCCTCTGTCCAACAATCATGGAAGCGGACAGACGTGTTCCCTAAGCGCAAAACGGTTTCCCCCTGTCAGCTTCCATGATTGTTTTGTGTGTGTGTGCTTTTGCCCTTTTGGGTGTCCTTAATTGTTCCTTCTCAGCAAGCTAGCTTGTTGTGCGGGGATCCACTCGTTCAGGGACCATATCAGATCTTAGAATTGGCGACCCCGTGTTGGACGGTGTTCAAAGGGACACGTCCATTTGCTTATGAATATATGTTGCTGTTCCCTGTTAGTTTCCAAGAAACAAACCATCACTACTGGAAATATGTTGTTTTCCCCAGTGGACTTAAGCAAATGGAAGGACCCCCGACCGGTCACCGATATTGTTACAGGGCGTACTGTAGAAAGCAACCACGTGTAAGTGAAGCCATGCAATCTAACCTTTGGAAGGGTCCTAGTGTTGATGCCGAACAAGCATGTCCACCCTCGAACATGTGCTCATGGGAATATGGGGAGCCTGGAGAAAGCTTCACATGGCATTAGTGTATGTGTGATTTGGTTTGTTGTGGGTGAGTATCACTCAGGTATTATCATTGTCATTATTCATATATTGGTTGTTATTACTAGTTCCAAGATCCGCCGGAGGGGAAAACAGGCAAGCGTCTCAGTTTGACACTCCCCCCATTGCCATGGCGAGAAACCATCGTCACTATTGGTCCTCGTCGCTTCGCAAAACTTGGCATTGCCAGACTGTTGGGTTGACTAGGTGGGGAGCCCTTGCGGAGCTGGTCTCCCAATTTGCGGGAAAAACAGCAAGCCTTGCGGAGCTACGAGAAGCACACATGGATTTGGTTTCCGAGCGATCTGTTTGCAGGGCCGGATGTTTCTTTCCATTGGCCTCGGAGTGGCGACCGGGTTGTTGACAGCCCCCAAGTAGGTCCCCAAAGGTTGATCTTTTTTCCAGGCCCTTTGGTGTTAGTGGCCTGGCTTTGGCCATTTCAAGAGGCTGGCGGTCGAGTGTCGGACTTGCAGCTCATCGCAGCCATTTTCTTTTGCTCAGCACACCGCTCCAAAGGATTGGGCGGTGGTAGCGTTGTTTCGGTTTTATTTGTCGGAGATAGAGGCACCAAAAAGGATTGAGTTTAAAGGATATTCGGATGTTCGTGCAAAGACAACCAGCTTGGCGGGCGGAATTTGAAGGCTGGCACAGCTTCAATCAACAGACTTGTACCTACAACCTGCTTTTTTGCCTTCCATCTACAGGTGCTGATGCTTAAGATGGTAACAATCACTCAAAAACAGAAGGCTTTTCGTTCACAGAGAGGACAACAGAGACAGGCTAAGCATGGAACCCTGTTTGGGGCCGCTCTACCAGGCAACCAATAGAAGCCCAATGCATTGCCAGACTTAGCAGATACTGTTTGTTCATCATGGGAATGAGTCCTGCATTTTTCTCCAGGAACATGTCTTCACTTTTTGCAAGGTCGGATCTATTTGGGCTTCAATATGTCCAGAGAATCGGAATGCAAGTAATATATGCCAACACTGGACCCATGAGAGTGAATGTGAACATTGCATAGGATGGTTTGGGCTTGGAAGGGACCGCTTTGTTTTACTTTTGACGCACAGAAGGCGCGCGAAGCCTCGGCCGCCATGCAAAAGCATGTGAGCCGGCAGCGAAGCAACAGCTAAGAGCTCAGAAAAATATGTGCTTTGCTCAATTGCTCAAATCGAATGGACCTTTTCACCTTTTGGTTTCCCTTTTGTGGTCCGCTTGTTTATTTTGGTCCCAAAAGGTGAACCCTTTACTGTAACGTTCGGGTTTTCCCGTTTTGGTCCACTTGTAGTAAAGGTCCCAAAAGGTCAACCTTTTGCTTTAGGTTCTTTGGGCAAGTGGGGTTGAAATCACCTTTTGGGTTTGTTTCATGTCAATGTTCGCTTTTTTGGGATGTGCACCTTTTTTGAGGCTCGGTACCCTTCGAGGTTGGGTTAAAGCGAAGTCAACAGAGCAACAACCATTTTGGGCCGAGTTTCTCACTTTCCCAGTTCCTGTGGACGATTTGAGTATTTGCGAGACTTTCTTGTTTTTTCTTTCGTGGGAAGGGATTATGGACACAAGGGACCGCAGAGTGCTTCACCTCGATGCTGGCCCTTGTTCTTCAACAGTTCTGTTTTTTGTTTTTTCCCCCTGGACGCATGGTGCAGCTCGAACTCTGGAGTTATTTGGTGTTTGTTTCATTTCAAGCCCTGGTTCTTGCGGAAGGTACATGGGGTTCCCCCCATCAGAAACTCTTGATCCACCTGTGCAAGCCGAGGGACTCCCACGGCTAGGTGTCCTTTTACCGTTTCTTTTTGGAGGTTTTGGGTCAACCCCCTACTAAAATGGACTACAGAAGAAAACAAATCGGGCACCAACTTATTCTAAGCTCTGAAATCTGGAGGACCTAGCCACCCTTTTCTGAAGGCCGTCTAAGTTGTTTAAGGGCTGATTTGGGCCTTGTCCCTCCCCCCCCTCCTCCCTCCCCAGCCCCCAAACCGATTCGGCACTCGCCGCGCCGCGCGACTCTGCCGAGGCTTCGACGAGGACCAGGACGGGGAGTGGTGGCCGCCGCCTCTCACGGAGCAGGACGTGGCGCTGCGGCACCGCGCCGGGCGCCTGCTGGAGGCGCGATTTGCGGGTGGCGGCGGTTTGCCGCGGTTCGTTGTGGGCGAAACCCAGCCTGGTTGAGATGTATCGCAATTTTTGCTGAATTGAATATGGTTTATGTTTATTTTCCGCGGCGGTGTTTATTTGTTTTTTTTCTACAGGGAATCTATCACTATATACTGGAAATACTATAATATATATATATATAGGTATGTCTTTTCCAGGGGGCTGAAGCAAATGGAAGCTATTATATATGCTTGTTTAACACTATATTAACCGCACTCCCCGAGTTCCAGACTTTATGTTTTTTGGAAAGACAATTTTAGTAGTACATAATGACATAGTTCAGACTTGTTTGGCCGATCCACTATCCTGCTTGATATATGTATTGTGTTCCTTTTTCGCACTATATTCCATGAAGTCAAACTCATCAAAAGCAACTTCAATAAGTTGTAAATATGTTCGATTTGTTCTGTTATGGCAGTTATTTCTCACCAGCCCTGATTTACGTTGACACAACCCGGCCCAAAAAATACGAAAAAAGGAGCCAGCATCATGTTCCACTCTACCTAGTTCCCACACAAACACACGCTTTAACTCTTTCCGAAGCAAATCGACTCGCTTCGACTTTGGACTCCAACAAGTCAACACGCGATACTTGAGTATCCCGCTCCAAATGCCTTTTTTGTCTTTACAGAATCATGTCGATCCGCTACAACAAATACGATACTGTATTTGCCAAGGAGGACGTGATTTTTCAATCACTACAAAAACAAATAGGGGGTATGTATCACACCTGGGGCATCCCCAACATGGGTGGCGTATGGTGGCATCCCATGGATTTCCCCCGTACCCCCGCTCTTGGGGGCACCGAGCCTCTAAAACAAACACTCACCTATAACGAAGGGCCTAAGAAACCTTGCCTCCAGCACCAGGGATTGAAACACCCAATCCAGCCCACCAGAAAAAAACCTGCAAGCGGCCAAGCGGGAGGCCATTCGGCGGATCCCAGTGGTATACTACGACATCAAAGCATGGGAGAACGAACATGAGCGCGTCTTCTCCCTCTTCAGAAAAGGCGCGTGGACGTGTGTTTTTTTTTTCAAAGAAGCAAACACGAAGTATGCTGCTTATTTTTTGTCGCACAAATAGTGTTGCAAGGGTGTTGGCTTTTCTCAGAAACGGGGCCGATATTGTTTGTTAGTTGTTTGTTGTTTGTTTCGGACAACAAGTGTTGCTGGGGGTTCTGAATGGAAACGGATGCCACTTCTCGGCTTCCTCACCTTGAGGATTCCCCAATTGCAAGAATCACCCGCTATGTGCCTCAGTTACCACTCTAATTGGTAGCCATATTGCATTGTTGCCCCTAGGATTTATATGATGGCTACCTACTATACTGGTAACTTGAAGCGCTCAGTCTTGAAGCTCCCTTCTGCGTTCATGTCAAGTCCTTTGAGGTTGCTTGGATGCCGCGAACTCCAGCATGTTGGATGCACCAATCTACAACAACCGTCAGATCGAGGATGCCTGGTTGTTTCTGCTGGAGATGAGGCGAAGGCACAACAACCGCCGGAAGCACGTGCAGGAGTGCGCCCGCATTCTAGGCGCCTCCTACAACTGGTCCTTGGTCCTTGGGTCCAGGAAAGTGCTGGGTGCGCTCAAGGATTCGCCACAGGAGATTTGCACAGCAGCTCGATGGACCAGAAGCCAAGCTTTTCACCTCCCGTTTTAGCAGAGGTGATCGCCGGTTTGCCGGTTTGCCCTTCTGAAAAACCAGCACAAAATAAGAAAAGGTCACATACTTATGCCTAAGCTTATGTTGCTTTTTCCCTGTTGGTTTAGAAGGGAATCTAGCACTACCGGATTTCTGGGTTCATTTGTTCCAGGCGAAAAAAAACAAACGGAGGCTTCGACTTGCGGCCAGGAAGTTCCTCAGGTCTAAGGGTCTTGGTATTACACCCAGGGAATACGCCCACTGGGTATTGACCCCACGTGTTATTTTGAA